GCACCGCCAGCCTGGGGGGTAGCCTCCCGGAAGGACCCCAAGGGTCAGCAGTACGTGCTAGTAAAACAACAAAACAAAATGTAAAACGAAATAATGGACTATGTATGTGGAGGACACCTCGGAATATATAACCAACCATTTGTGCACATACAAAGTATAGGAAGATATGATTCCTCGGTGTAACTTGCCATCGGGAGAGGTGGCAAGTAAAGCACCGAGGAGATTTGTCCCTTCCGAAGTCCATGGCCGCTTGCCGAGGGAAGAGATGGGGGAGCCTCTCGACCCTCAGGTCACTCTCTTTTTGTACCTCTCTCCTCGTCACATCTCACGAAAGGAAATAGCCACCCTTGGCAGTGGGAGAATACTGCCAGAGCACCGGCCTCTGTCTCTGACAGGGACTAGTGTCCTCAACTATAATGGACTATATAAATCATACGGCTGGCAATGCCTCCCCACACACACAACATGTTATTACCCACAATACTCAGAAGGTGTACAGGGCCAGGGAAAAAGAAAGGTGTACGAAAGACTTCACATTCATAGGGGCTACCCCCTCAGTCACATGGAGTGTTTTGGCGGACTGGTGTGTACACCGCGAGATATAGGCCAGGCGGCTGCCTGGCTGGGCAGAATTGATTTCCTTGAAGTGCAGAAATTGAGAGAGTTACGATCATTTATATGGACCTTGTCGGGCGACAGCATGTGACTCATGTCTTAAAAAGTGTCCCCCCTACCGTAGCTGCTCTAATTGCCAAGGTCCTCGAGAACGAACTTCGCCTGTTTGTTGTTGCCGAGCACTGCAAAGAAAGCTTAATAGACTATACGGTTGAACCGCGACGAGTGGTTGGTTACAGAAACTGAAGATTACAATTGTTTACGACCATTCATGCATCCAGCAGGTGGTACAGAACGGGCCCGCATAAAGAAAATTCTGTTGTTAAGAAAAATAAGCTCAAATGTTTGCGAAAAATAAGGAAAAAGGGCTATTAATAAGAGCTCAGCTCAACCTCGGCCACGACATAAACATCCACATAAGAAACATGATCATGCGATACCCCGAGACCAAACGAAACAACGGATAGCTGAGGAAGCGTGTCCAACAAGAAACCTCCCATGGTGCTGCCAGCTCCCACCACTCACTGCCTAGGCTAGCTCACCATGTAATTTTTTGGTAGGGGCGGAGAGGTCAGAGTGGTTATTTTCGGGTCTCCCCCCGGCCGCCCGCGCCGCCGCGGGCTGCGGTACCCACTGCTGTTGTACTGCTGTAGTACTGCCACAAAAAAATCACGGGAGTCAGGAAGTCAATCCCAATCAATGTTCGCCACCATCGAGCTGTCGACTGAAAATTCTGCATAAAGAGGGTTGGTGGTGTGTTACTGGTTTCTTCGCCAGCAACAAGAAAATAAGAGCAGCAGGTGATGCGACAGCCCCAACCAAGGAATGAAGAAATCCGTTTTAAGAAATTGGCCGACTTCGTCTGGTCCTTCGGGCGAAAACAAGAAATAGAGGCTCGACCCGATTTTTTTTACGTTTCTTATCTCCGGGCCCGTTCTGTATGCATACTTTAGCCAAGGATTGGGTTCCCATCTGTCCCCAATTAAATCCTCAAGGGTTGCGTGCGTGTAGCAGAAGAATGGGATGAACGAACTTCTTGCTCTATGTATACGTGGATAGCCCAAAAGTCACCTTGGCGTATCTACCATGAACAAGCAACTGTCGTCGCAGTGTCGTGCCACAAACACATGGATGGGTTAACCGTGGATGTAGCCCCACACACCCAGCGGAACGCGCGGCGGGTACTTGCGGGACCGACCGCGGGACAGGGAGGGAAATCAAAGAACACGGCCGTCAAAATCACAAGAACAAAAATCCGGAGCCCACCCTTCCTCATACCGTAAACTGGCGAGGGGCAATTGGAACGAGTGCGGGGGTGCACAACACCCGGCCGAGCGTTGTTTGCGGTGACCCATACCTCACATTCGCCGTAATGTCATTGGATGTACGTTGCGCCAGCACCAACAAGTTACGTTTTGTACCGTATGGTTTGAGATCATCAAATGAAGACAGCAAAGTAGGATGTACGACGCATGCAACACAAAACATGCACGCGTGTTCACCAGCACACAAAACAAAACGAAATGGCACACTCCGCACCCTAAAAGCAAAGAGACAAATGAGACAAATCTTACGCGTGTACCGAAAAAAAACGAACAAACCCTAATGGACAGTACTGATATTACGTAGACAAAAACAAACGGCAAAGAGACAAAGAAAGCTAGACTGTACCATGGTATGTATCTACCGCGCGACGATCCCCCACCCAATTGTGTTCAAAACGTAACCCTGGCCTTGGTCGGCATCGTGCCGTGTGGGCCAAACGCCTACTTATTCGTTCAATCAGTCGACGGTGCCGGCGTGCTCCACTCCCTTCCCGCCCAATCCTCTCACCAAGGCGCATGCTAGTCATTCGCTCTCTTGTTGTTCATGCATGAGGTTGTGCTGGAGGGGGATTCGTCCGGTACAACACAGCAGCCCAGGACTACTATTAAAGTACCGTTCTCGCCGATGGCTACCGCAATGCTGCTGCGATGGCGAAGCACCACAGCCAGACCCAGCGCCAACACAACCCCGTCTCTAATCACGCAAATAGTCATCGTAGACTACCAACCGACACTGCATGCCGTATCGCCATCTAAGCAAACATCTAGTTGTACTTGGCGATTGCGTCCAGTAGGGCCGCGCATTCTGCTTTCACGTCGACCGGCGCCATCCTCTGCAGCGTCTTCCTCGACCTCGTTTCGTCGTTATACATGTCCGTCTTCACGCGGAGGGTGAACATGTACGTCTTGAAGCACGCCTCCGAGAACAGTTCCTCGAGCTCAGCGTCCTTCGAAAGAAAAAAATTAGCGAACGGAAGGTATCCGCGTCAGTTGGACCAGTACGGATAGTAACAGGTACTGAGTGGAGACCGGAACGGATGTTAATGTGAAGACAACAACGGAAAAAAAACAATCAAGGTTACCACAAGGACGCCCCCACTCGCCCCACATTTAGAAACACCTTTTGGTAAGCACTCACGTGTGTCTGTGTGTTGTTGGCTTGGTTTGGTTTGGCAACAAATTTACTGTTGCAGAATACAGAGTGCGCTGAAGATGAAAACTCTTACATACGATTGCGTACTTGCACAGAGGAGCCAAACAACAAAGACGAATGAACAAGCAAAACAAAGCACAAGTCAAAGTGGCGTGTGCTCGTTGTTGAACAAACTTGCAACTTACGTTTCCCTCTTCCTTCATCTGGAAGAGCTCATCCGCGGTCCTGTTGTCGAGTAGCTCCACAGCTTGGTCGTTGAAAGCCGTCACCCAAGCTTTGCCGGTGTTGTCCGAGATTTGCATGTTCAGCATGTACCTTTGTTGTGCCAAGTGCCGAGCGAGAGGGCAGGGCTTGAGGAAAACCGTGGAAACCATTATCACTTGATAGTACGTGCTCGGGGAAACAAAGCTACCTGGCACAAGGTAGAGACCGTCAGGACAAATCGACGACGCTACCCCTTGCGGAAAAGGTAGACAACTACAATACAAACTGTTGAAGATTTTCCGTCCCGTATTTTTGAGTCATCCCACGGTATCCACACCACGGTACGGTGTCTACAACCCAATCAGGGGTGGCGGTCACTATTTCTGTATCCAGCACCAGCTCAAAGGCGAACAAAAACGGCATCGTGCGGTGGAACAGAATAGACGGGTGCAAACCCATCCAATTCAGGCGGTGGTGTCCCCGCGCCACCAGATAAAACATCCAGTTCTCGCACTACCGTACTTTCCGGTTCTTCCTCTGGGCTCATTGAAACGTGTCCTTTTCTCCGACTCCTACGGTGCCCATCCTCTCTCTATTTTCATCGTTCGATTCAGACTTTAGCTCGACCGGAATACGTTACCAGAGAGCACAGCCACCGTACGTATTGTACAAACCTTCGTTGGCACTCCGGGTGCGTCTGGTTACACTTCTCGCACTGCCACGCGCCTTCCATTGTCTCCGTAACCTTTCCGGCGACAAAGACGGAGGGAGGGAGGGAGAGGAAGAGATAGACATGACGTTCAAAATTATTCAAAAAATTGATGGGTGTAGCCCTCTCGGTCCCCATAAACGAGTAACCGCTCTCGATTCGTGTTTGGACAAAATCGAGGTTTTAATCTCTTCTCGCCGTTGTCGTTGCAAACCGCTAGCTACTGGCTACACCTCCAACTTCTTTCTCAGCTGTACGTGTACGAAGAGGAAACCAGTGCTTGTTCAAAGAGCCGGCGCAAATCGAACTCTTTTTCGACACAGGGCAACACCAAGAAGAACAAAATCGTGCGCGAAAATAGTGCTCTTTTAGTATTTGGTGCTCATGCTTTCCAAGGGGGGTTTGGTGAAACAATGGACCCTCGTTCAACAACCAAATACAAGTCGTCATTGTGGTACCTTTTTTTTTTCGCGAATGGTGACCTTCCTCCTTTCTTTGAGTCTTGTGATACACACAGTATCTATACAAACGATATTCCCCCCTTCCCGTTAAGACTTCAACCCACCCCCTTCCACTGTAGTTATTCTCGAACGGGCATAACAGTCTCTCTTTGAGTGTATATATTCTAAAAATGCACCGCGCTCACCTTCTTGTTGCAGCCTTCCTTCGGGCAGGCCGTGTACCACGGGAGCCGCTCTCCGTCCAGCCTGGCTCACAACAAAGGGCCGAAACATACAACACACCCGTGCAGGGGGGAAACACACACACAGGGGCGCGCACGTTCAGTGGAAGGCGTGTTCGTACTTTTTGTTTATCTCACAACAAGTCGGGCGTATTTTCATTGGTCAGCGGGCTATGTAGCGCGGTCGATGCAAAGTAAAAAAAAAACACACACAGGGTACATATTTAGACGCATTTTCTGTTTCCCGCCGCACTGAGACTCACTGGGAAGCCGGTTAGCGCGGTCGATGCCAACAAGAAAGACACGCACATGCACGCATGGGAGAGAAAAGGCAGAATGCACAAGACAAGGGAGCCGTCGGCCATGTTCACCGACAGGCATGCCGAGGGAAGCATAGCATTTTTACACCTGTATGAATACAAATATATCCCGACTGGTATCTACAAACACGGCCGGACACAGCACTTGCGCACACTAGCGGCTCCCTCTACCATCGTCCTTCCACCTTCCACCACAACGTGTTTGTCGGTGGTGTTTCTGCTACAGCACAGCAGCAGTCGTAGGCCCTCTTTAAGGCGGGTATGCGCCAGACCGATTCACCCGCCCTACAGTACACAGGACACCTGCCATATTCACTCTGCGTAAAACATGATTATACATGATTATTCCTTCTGTCCCAGCCAATCTTACCCTCCTTATTCTGGGCAACCGCTTTCAGTAACCCGCCTTTCATAGAGGGCCAACGACTGCACATTGGTATTCTATTTTTCGAGTGCTCTCTTTTCCCTTTCTCACTTGATGAACGAGATCGTCGCCTTCACAACGGCCCAGTCGGGCTTCTCGCCATTCCCCAGGTTGCCGTCAGTTATGCTCTGCAACGTGTACCGCTGAGAGATGTCCTTCTTCGCCACCTCTACATCGCCGTTAGGGGTCACGGGCAGCAGCATCAAAGTTATCGTTCAGATACGCCAGATACATGCTGTTGTCAGAGACGACCATGGTCCGCCTGGCAACGCTATCGTAAGGGATGCGATGGCGGTTATCAACAGCCACAACGGTGCTGCAAGGCATAGACGTCGTGATTGGATTCGTACTTCGAAATGCTATCTAGTGACATGTGGTCGCACTCCACCGCAAGCGTTGTGGTGGTAGATATGGACGTGACGAAATGTTGAATATGAACCACAACGGGTCTGATACTTCAACAAGCTGTTGTACTCAGCGTGTGTTGCAATCTGATTCGATCTGATTCTGCCTTGAACGCAAAGCACCTTCTGTGGGCTTTGAGTCTCCACAGCAGAGCACAACGACCCACGTTCAAACCTTGTGCATTCCATATCATCACTGCTCGGTAGGGCTACTGTATCAACGGCAAACGCACGCCACCTCAAAAAGCCAAGGGCTAAGGGCTCCCGTTGACCACCTGGTACGCAAAAGTCATTTACAGCAGAATTTCCAACTCATCGCCCCCCTTTGCATACCTCGTCCTAAAAGTACTCTATACAAAGGTCGTCCTTGTCATCCGCTATCTCTCCAACGAATCTTTCAATGGATCTCTCTCATCCACAAATTTACCCAGAGCGGTAGCTCGCCGGTGGTGAACCCTCTCCAACGGGTCTCTCTGCCTCACCGACAGTACGCCGGTGAGAAAGAACCCTCTCCAACGGATCTATCTTTCAACGGATCTCTCCCCTTCCTCTCTCACCGTCACCGCCGCCGCCCCCTCCGTTCCTGACGGTGACGCTCTTGAAGCTAGATCCGCCGCCGGCGGCATCGAACCACGCCCGTAGGTCAGCCGTCTCCGGGACGTCGGGGTCGTTGACCAGCGTAGATGAGTTCAACGAGTTGAGCGATCGCCCGTTGTATTCGGACAGCTGCGGCGCCACGGGTCCAAAAAGGACAACAACAAAAGGTTTGGAAATAACTCAGGTTGCGCGCTATCCGGTTGACCAATGAAAAAGACGAGGGTCTCGGAAAAAAAAAACGCGAAAAAAACGTGAACACGCATTCTAATCGCGGGCATGTGCTTGTTACACATGCGTGAAATTTGAGCCAACGATTATCATGTCGTTCAACATAGCGCAGACGCCACGTCAGCGCAGGCGAAGGGGGTGTTGTTGTACTCTTCGTGGACTATGCATAAGGTGATCACTCACGCCACAACGCAAACGCTGACGCTAACGCCAGTAGGCTAGGCTGTACCTTGACGCCCTTGAAGGCAACGACAGGGTTGCCCTCCCACCGACTCCCGTCCGCCTTGGCCATATCCCCCCACAGCGTCAAGTTGATCTCCGTGCAAGTGTCGTCCACCAGGATCAAGTTGCGCTTGTCCAGCTGCTTGCCAGCCCTGCTTCGTGTCGGCATTGTTGTTGCTGATTGTCTGTCGTGTGCTTGATCCATTTGTTTCTCGTGATGTTGCGGTGTGAGCACGTTGTGCTTGAAGTTGTCAATGTCTACTCTTCTGATCCTGTTGTTTCATGTTGTTTCATGTTGTTTCATGTTGTTTCATGTTGTTTCATGTTGTTTCATGTTGCTACCGGGGTCGTTGACAGCACCATCGTCAAAACCTCGACTCCACACAACTTCGTCGATGTCATCTTTATTATCAGTACGATAGCCAAGCCTACCTCAATATTGGCATGGTCTTCCACGCCGGTCGAACCGCACGGCACCAAGACTACTTGCTACCGTCACGGAGGAGGTGCCTACAGTACCTTCGCTGCCCCGTACCGCAGAGAGAGCAGCCAAAGCCCAAAGCAGCAGCCATCACAAAATTGCCGTGCTCACCTTGACACGAACTGGGCGTGGTCTTCGACGCTCTTGACGACCGCGATCACATCCAAGACCTTGTTCGCCTCCATCGCCTCCATCTCGTTCAGCTTCACAAAAGCGTAGCTGCGCAGACGAATGCGGTAGGATTGCAGCGGTAGAGTAGCGTTGCCACCACACGGAGAGTTGCGGGAGAGGAGAAGCGAGGCACGAGAAACAACAGGGTGCTACTTTGAAGGAAGACACGACCGTACAACTGCTATCGACTACCTCCGTGCCGAGCGAGTTGACGCGCGCTAAAGCTTTACGCAAAACAGTACATGAGAACCAAATTTTCGCGCTACTCAAGACCGCGAAACACAGCAGTTGGACACTTCTCTGCTTATGTACTCACGTCGCGCTGCTGATGCGGCTGTCGTCGTTGATGGGGTTGATTTGCGTCGAAGAGTCGAAGTTGAGCTCGTACTCTGCGTTGAACGAGGAGAACTTCTTGTTTGCCACCTTCACCTTGCCACCAGTGAAGGCATAGACCTGCACACATGAATGGACGAGCCGAAACACAGCGTCACACACAAACCTGCTCGTGAAAATTCGAGCTTAGCCAAAAAGAACTACGCTTGAAAGTGTGATGTGATCGATTCATACAAGTGCCTTCGAAACACAGCGTCACGGAGGCACGTTTGATGCTTTCGTGCAAGTCTTCATTCGATTTGAGGCAAACCCACGACACTGGTATGATGCTGCTAGATACGATGCGACTGGCTGCTGTCAGCGCGCCCTCGAATCGTCGCCACCACTACCGTCACCCCCACCACACTTGCAGTAGTAACAACCCTGATTGAGGACAAACGACACCATACCATGAGTGGATAGGCCTGGCACCAACACCAACATGCGTAGAGTACATACATTGCACTTGAACAGACGTGCACGGATTCTCGTGTCTGTCGCAGCTGCCGCTACAATGCTGCAAATGGTGTCGTTGCGATGGTTGTTCCTGTTGCTGTCTTCGTGTTACGAACCGTTTCCACCTCTACCCGGTGCCTCAGTACTCCATACTGTACCATGTACCACCCTCGGGCGTGGTGCGACGGGAGCTCACACGAGATTACATTTTTGCGCAGGATTTAGTATGGGGGGGGAGAACCAACAGGAAGACCAGTCACTAGTACCTTGGACGATCCTTACGCCCATCGGCTTTCTACCCTGTTTTGTTTTTTTACCTGTCCCTCCTGCAGGATTTGGAACCATTTGTCCGCGTCTTGCTTGAAGAACGTTCCCTTGATCTCAGACCCGTCTTCGTCGAGCAGATCCACCGAGAAAAGGGTCCCCGAACCCCGGGCGTTGTTCCACTGACGCATGTCTCCCTTTTTGGTGATCCTGTCGTTGGAACGCAACGCAACGACAGCACCGCCAGAATTAACCACACTGTAGTCGTCTCATGAGATCGCAACGCAAAGCAGCGATGCCAGCACCGACACAACCCAAAACACTACTTGTTCTGCCGTCGTCTCATGACGAGTCATATGTACTTCCTTGTGGGAGTCGCCATGAGAGTACACGGAACCCAAACAAGCCAACACCAACAACGTCGAGGACGACAAACATACCACCGTTAACGCAGGTTAATTGCAAATAGAAATTCTCTGGAGAAGCGACGAGCACAACGCTGCTGAAAGTGGGACTACATGGTTCAACTCCAGGGAGCAGAAGCGGAGGGAGAAAACGAACAACTCCAATGTGCCGCAAAGGTATACCATATCGCAGTACAGTAGCAGTAGAACCTTCGGTGAGGAAGCAAGCGGAAACGGTCAAAATAGAACAAGAACATCATCCCTTCGCCTCTCCACCGACCTCTAGTGGGCAAACGCCAAAACTTCGGCACTGAGTATTGACCGTATGCCGTTGACCTGCTCACGAACAAAGTGCTGCTACGCCAAACAAAAAAAGCCGTCCATGTACCATAACAAAACATACGCCTTGATAGCATTCCTTCTATCGATCGCTTCATGCACCGTGCTGTGCTTGGCTCTCAAAAACCTCTCCACCTCTTCCTTTCACTTCCCATGCAATTGTCTTATTCCCCCGCTCTCTCGCCCCTCGCTCTCTCCCTTTCCCATCCCATTGTCTTGTCCCCCCCCCTCTCGATTACTCGGTGTTTGCCATCGGGATTGGGTTTTCGTCGCTTGGCAACGACGTTGTAAAACAAGCCAATTCTCTTCGTGAACCCGGCAACCAGGTTACCGGGTTTTTTTTACCTCCGTTTTTTTTTTTTGGCGGTA